CCTGATTTTAGTGCCAGTTTCCTTTTTACCTATTCTATTCGTAAAACTGATTTTATCTTTCGCTGGTATGGGTTGGAAGAACATGTTGGTAGGATATTCAAACCAGACTTTTAAAATAGCAGTTCTACGTTTGAATTTCTGCTCATTAAAGAGCTTAACAAATTCTTTATTTTCTTCTTGTCGAAATGGTCTACCACTTTCCGCTCTCGGATATTCGCTGTCTAAATCCGACATGGCGGAAGCGTACAAACAGCTAGCATCAAAGGCCATTCGTTTAGTACATTTTATTTTTTTAAGTTTCGAATGAACCTCCGTTTTTTCTTTTGGGTTAGCACTATATTCTTTGAATAAATCAATTATATTATCACTTGGTGTTTCTGTGTATTCCTTTAATATATTACAAATTTCATCCATTTTATTCGTTTCAAATGATTTTCGATTTGCCGAAACTCTTCCTCATTTAATACTTTGATAAAATATCTTATAAAAGGGTGAGTAAACTTTTTCTACGTTTTCTTTTTCGGTGTGTTTCGGAACCATTCTAGTATTTTCATACCATTCTTCTTCAACCATTTCTTTATCGTAATGATATAATTAATACCAACCTTTTAAAGATAAACTAGATGATTCATGTTGATAGGAACATATGAAATTAATATTTTGCAAATAATTAGATTTCGGGGAAGGGAGGGTTTGATTCTCCCAAATGTACAGGCCTAGGGTGGAGCAGACACTTTATTTAGAAATTAGGATTAAGGGTCTTGATATTGGGTTTTCTTCTGTTCTTATTCTGATCTGAAATTAGAAAAAATAACTCGCCCGATGGGCGAGAAGTATAGTATCTGTTATGTGCTGGTTGTTTATAGTTTACTATGAACAATATTATCATTTAAGTTCTTATTTTTTGAATATGCAACTATCATTTTCTGCTTATAGACATGGGGGAATTTCTCTTGAAGGCTCTTACAGTGGACATGAACTATCTTGCTTGCTCGATTGCTGGTTGTATTAAACGGGACAACAAAGGGTGCTATTCCTACATTATGATGAATATTTAGTCCTATAGGTCTCGCTGTATTCAATGTCTCAATCCAATGGGCTTCCCTAGATGACGGAATTTGGTAGTTTCATCTTCGGGCAAGTCAATTTCTATACGCTCAATTGGGATTAGGGCGAGATCGTCTATTGAATGGTCGTCGAGGTTGAAATGATTAGAAACAGGCTTCTCTTTCTTTAATTTGATGTCTGACCTATGAGCATTAAAGCGAGTTCGTAAATTATTCTTAGTTTCTCCTACATATTGTTTGCGGCATTTCTTGCATGAAATTAAATATATTACATTCGAATGTTCACATGTTAGATGTTCCTGGATCGGGTACCTTTTATTCGTAGAGTTGCTTACAAAATAATGAGTTTCTGATATAAAGGGACATGTTTTGCATCTACTGGACAAACATGGAGCACTTCTTAAACCTGGAGGTACTTCGGCATAAAGTCTGTTTTTAGCTGCTATCTGTGCTAAGGTGGAATTTTTTATGTTTCGTAAAAATCGTTTAGAGTACCCACGCTCTTTAGTTTTGAGAAAACAATCGTACAGGCTTGGTTGAAATCAGAAGATCTTGTACAAATTCGATGAAATCGTAAAAACTTGTGACTTAATTATACCAGAAAAGGTATGTTTTGGGTGAAAGGAGCTCTTGTGCAAAAATGATGAGTATCAGTTTCTTTGAAATACACTTTAATATCCAGTTTATTTGTTTCT